AAGGCACCGGGTTAATATCTCATAGAGGTGCTTATAACGCAATAGTATGTAATCGTATCGATTTTGATAAGTCGCATTATATCCATATGTATGCGTGTATCTAAGCGCGTTACATGAAAAAAAAACTTTGGGTTCATCTCTCTTCTTCTGATCGAGTAATACGTTTAGCTCATAGAGCGTTGTTGTGGTTGGTGTTATCGTAGATCTCCTAGCGATCATAGATGTGTACAAATGTAAAAATGAACTCTATAAGGGTATAATTTACTTTACTCCGCCATTAACAACAAAAAAAATATCATATAATACAAAATTAACTCTGGTGGTTATCTATTTAGTTTATCTCAAGTCTTTTATACAAGTATGCATCTCTATGGATGTATATGAATAAATAGATTTCGTATTCTATAAAATCGATAGGTAAGAAGAAAAACGCATTTATATATATATGTATATAAAGTATTTACTGGCATATGCACATATGCACACAATGGTATTAAATCACTAAGCCCGTCTTTTGGATAATTAACTCTTTTGTATATATATATATATATGTATGTGTATATATATAGAGAGAGAGAGAGAGAGAGAGATTAGAACATCTCATTTAAATTCGATATGAAAAGCGAAACAAAAAACCCCCATCACTTTTAATTTTGAATTGAATTTTTCATAATTAATGAGAAATTAAAAAAAAAAAAGAATTAAATTTATCATCGGATTGGGAACGCCGAAGAGGTCAAGATATATATAGCACGTATTAGCGTTTTGTATGCGTTATAACTTTACTTTCAATTTTCAGCAAAGATTTCAAAAATGTAAAGGATAAGAAGAAAGAGAAAAAACAACAACAACAACAATATAAAAAAAAAAAGTTAAGAGAATAACAATATTTATAAAATGTTGCGCTGACATGCTCATCTGCATAAACTTCATTATTCAAAACGTAATGCAAATTATTGATAATAAAAAGCAACTTCGCACTGAAAAATTGATTTTGAAAATGTTTACGTTTTTGTAAAATGGGAGAAAAATACTAAAAAAGAAGAAAGGAAGAAAATGAAGTCAGAAACAAATTTGTTATACATGAATCATGTATGCCTCACTTTGTGTTAAGTTAACAATTTTAAAAGTGTATATAAATATATATATATATATATATATATATATATATACGAGCATATAGGCCTGTGCATGTGTATGCGAACAGTAAAACGAACTAAACTAACAAGGATTTGTGTTTTATCTAAGAATATTACATTACGAACATCTCGCGTGTGTACGTACGTATATGCGTGCTTGCCTGCGTGCGTGCGTGCGTGCATGCATGCATGCATGTATATGTGTTTCGTTAATGAGTTCAACAATATATATATATATATATATATATATATATATCTTCATAGATAGCTATGTATATACACAGCCTCACACGGATATATCGTATGCTCTTCCATACGAGTTCTTCTGTTATTTTATTATATTTACAAAATTTATATAATTGTATGGTGCTGTTGTCGTTGTTATTTTCGTAGATTTTTTGAAAGAAAATAAAAATTTATAAAAAAAAAAAAGCAAAAAAAAAAAAACAAAAAAAAACAAAGAAATATTTTTAAAGATCATTTAAGAATGTGTTGTTGGCTTTGTTTTGTTTTCATTTATTTTTCTTCTTCTTGTTTTCTTGTATGTTTGGAAGATTTGAGAGAAGCTGTTGTTTGCGCTAAAGGAAACATAAATCCACACACACACACACACACACACACACACACACACGCATATACCAAATTATTATAAAACACAATTAAACAGATTTTTACCTGGATCTTTTCACAATAACAACAAAAGAAAGGAACAGTGTAACCAGAAGAAGAAAATTTGAAATTGAAAAAAGGAAAAAAAAACAATAAAGAGTTTCTATAAAACGATTCTCTCTACCGCATTTGTGTTTTGACGATACACCTAAAAGCATAACATTTTCATAGAGTGGAAAAAAATGTAACCGAATTTTCGCGTTTATGCTTTTTTGCCGTAAGAAGGACTACTTACGCATTTGTAATCAGAAGTTCACAATAAATGATTTAAAACTGAAAAATGGGCTTTCAGTCGCATCAAATTTATCGGGTTACATACAATTTCACATTACTTTAGAAAAAAGCATATATGTTGATAGGGTGCTATGATCATTTTTATGTAACTTTATTAACATACACTTACGCATAATGGAATAGAGTCGAGTCGAGTGATTATTTTTATACCCAACATAATTGTTTTTTTATTGAGACATTCTATCACAGTTGTATAAAGAAATTCCTCATTTCCTTCTACCACTCATATGCGTGTCCTTGAACACATGCATAGAAAATATCGCAAACGAAGTGAAAACTAAAGTTTACATAGACCCCTTAGAAGAAAGATCCACCGAAATCTCTAACATTTCTCTAAGCATTTCAACTATGAATTCAATGGATAAAGAAAAAGTGCATTTGTTGCCACATATCGTGTTTTTATTTCCGAGAAGACATCCTTACAAAAACCTAAAAGCATACGCTTCAGAAAGGGCACACTGGTCATTAGTTTGTTGAACTGTTGAATCTTTGAAGATTTCTATCCTTCAGATACATTTCGATCTACACAGATCAGTCTCTATGCGTCAGTCGATTAAGTCAAAACATTAATTTCACTAAATGTTTAGTAGAATTTGAAAAAGGTTTTGGGTTTATTTCAATTGGCGCATTTTGTACATTTTCAATGAGTTAAAGTCTCAGAGGTGTTTTTTAGCCATCTGTCTTTCCCCCACTTCTAATTATGGTCATGCCAGCTGACATAAGGATATATGTTTTTGGTTTAGGCATTCAAAAGTGCTACAAAGTGTTAAATCCCTGGAAAAGTTAATAAGAAAACTGAAATTTCATTATCCCTCTCAATAACTGGGTACCACGGCTATAGGTACCCATTTATTGCGAAATTTAATTTTCAAGATCCACTGCGGTGAAATGAATCGGTTTCTTGATTTTTTCAATTTTAATGAATTTTATTTTTTATAATTAATAAAAGTTGCGAAAGTGTTCATTTGCTGATCTACTGTAAGCAGATCAGATTGTTTGCAATATTTGAGCTCTGGATATCAACTAGGATTCTGTATGTATATATCCAAAATTTTGTCTTCGACATCGATATAACTTTAAAAATTTTACGAGGCAATCGAAAAATCAAATCAAATCAAAATACTAATATCTCGCAAGATTCCCGATGTTCTCATGGCTGGATGCCAGGATAGTTTCTGCCATATAAATAAGATAACTAAATATTGAGAGCTATGAAAGCGTACATCGTTATCCGTAAATTCGTAATTTTATCAAATAAATTTGTTTGAAATTTGTTAAATTGTCTGTCCTTTGTTTTTATTCCATATATACTTGCCGGGGAAGCGTTATGTTATTTCTTGTTTATTTGCGTCATACTGCTGTGCGTTTATAATGTAGTAAGTAAGCAGGCCATCATATACATTTATATTTATATTTATATATATATATATATATATATATATATGTATATGTATGTCCCTTATTCACGTTCATACAAATTATGTACAGAAATGCACGATACATATACATATTCATATACATACCAAAAATATTGTCGAAATTTTAGAAAAACATTATAAAGATCGGCACCAACAACACAACAACCCCAGAGTAAGAACCAACAATCAAAAACCAGTTTCTTGTTCCTTTGTACAGAAAATGAAAAAAAAAGGAGAAATAATATAGAACACAACAGCAGGAAAGAAATCGAAAGAAGAAATTTTCGTAAAGGCATCAGTTAAGTGAATATATGTGTCCATGTAGTTGAGTGTGTATTATATAAAGTGCTATTGAGTATGCGCAACAACTGTCTTTTTACTGTCTTACTAATACCTTACGGCCTTTAAGCAACACATAATTTTTTTCGCCTTTCGTTTATATGTTCTTCCGTAGCTTTGCTTGCCTGCCTATCTGATTTATATGTGTTAGGAATATGTATATATATATATATATGTATATATATGATAACAGCATATATATGCATATATCTGGCACAGTTTAATCAAATTTCAAATAAAATATTAAAATATATGAATTAGTTATAAAAAGACTTCTTCTTCTTCTTCGTCTTTTACTTGCTTCTTAAAATATATATAATATATATATATATATATATATATACTTCTTTAGGCAACGACTAATATTTTTTTAAAGCAAACTTAACTCTAATTAAGAAGCAAATGTTTAAACATATTTCTTTTTTCTTTCAATCAAGCCTATTATCTATCTAATAATTAATATTAATATCTTTTTAGTTTCGTTTATTTGAATACGTGACAAAAAAATTAAAATTTAATTAACGTATTCTATGAGAAAATTTGTAATAAATTTCATTTGGTATTGATCTAAAGCCAGCTCAAGTTCAGCGCTCCGCTCAGCGTAATCCGTAAGCCGAAATGCTTTCTTCTTAATAATAGCTCTGATAAAGTCAAGCTCCTTCATTAGTAACTGCAATAATTTTTATTATAATATTTTTATGTTTTCACATTTTATCGAAGTTCGAAGAACGCATTATATTGGAAAAAGTTGGGAGTGTGAAAAAATCTCAATCGAAAACATTTTTTCTTTGTCTTTTGCTTTATATCAAATAATATTCAATTTATTATATATATATATAAATTTTTTTTTTTTTGTTATATACAAAAAGAATGTTTTAGTTAAGGAGTTAATAGAAAGAATTCTTTCTATTTAGGTTTTACTTTCTTTAAAAGCCATGCACATGCACAAAGTGATTTATCAAATTCATGTTCAAAATTTTTATATATGTTTGCAACGGAACAGTTGTTTTGGCCGTTTTGTAAAGATCTCGTCAATGCTACTCTTGGCAGAATCTTAAATTATATACGAATGAATTAAGCATTAAAAACGAATTATGATTATATAAAAAAAAAAAAAAAAAAAAAAAAAAAAAAAAAATACCTGAGTAAGATGATAAACGATTTATTAAAATTTGGTATCATTCTCTTTTCTTTTTGCTATGATTATTTCGAGGTATTTAGCGGTTCTTTTAACTTTACTGTATTATTTTTCTTTACTTATGTCAATCCATATTGCTCAATGTTGGCTCAATTAGTACAAGGACAAGGTTAACAGTTATTATTGTTATCCTCTGTTAATTTACAGCAGCCTATTACTGTCATTTAACATAGCAAAAGTATTCATAATGAAAAAAAAGAAGAGAAAAGTATCACTCATATTATATATAGGGAATCGTTCAAAAAATCAAATATATATATATATATATATATAAGATTTCGTATATAGCTTTTCTCTCTTTACGTTCAATATGCATTGTATGTTGTATGTCATTTAAAACAAAATACAATAATAATATCTTAAGACTAAAATCTCTCCATTTACGAGCTGCATTTCATATTTAATTATCTCTTGCTCTTATCGTCAACTCTTCTTTATCATTGTTTTTCATTAGTATTTGAAAATTTTTGTTCAATTATTTGGTATTCGCTCTTTACGATATTCGTAGGGTATTCATTTAAGTCTTGAGGGAGTTGAATATGTTGTTGATGCTGTAGATTTTCTTTCAGATCATCACTGCTCGTTACAGCCATAGCAGTTTGATCTTCTTGTTGCTGCAATTTCACATATTGTTCTACTGATATATATTCATCTTTTCCATTCCCATAATCGCTATTTATTGTAAAATGATCGTCATTACTACGATCAACTCCTAGAACATTATTCCGTTCTAATGGCTGCTTATGGAAAGTATTCTCACTTTGTGCTGGCAATATTAACAACGGCTGTTGTTCCGCTTCGGCATTATTATTCATCTTCGTTTTGATTTCGTCTTTATTCTTGTTGCGTGCTACTTTCGATGATCTGTTCGATGTCGTACGTAGCTTGTTATGTGTATTGATATGTTTACGTAGATGGTCTTGCCGACAGAATCTTTTACCGCAGTTATCACATTTGTATTGCTTTTTGCCATGTATAGCTTCTATATGGCGGCGCAGATCTGTCTTATGATGAAATTGCTTAGGGCAAAGTTGACATTTATGTGGCTTATCACCCAATTCATGGCGCGGCAAATGTGCTCTGTAGGGCTCCTCAGATTGGTAACGCTTGCCACATTTGATGCACCGGAAAGGATACACGCCGTGATGGAACGACTTATTATGCTGCGTGAGGTAACAAATTTTAGCAAAATCCTTTTCGCAGCTCAAACATTTAATGCGTCCATCAGGCAGCACAAGATAGCTGAAAGTCATATTTTGTTGATTAGAGGCGCTTTTCCCATTTCGCTTACGTTTGTTGCTTCGACCTGACGTTTTTATCGCAGTTTTTGACGGTTGCGGTGATTTTTTCGCAGGTTTCGTCGAATCATTGATGATTTTCTCATGCTTTACATCATCAAATTTTACATCAGTTTTACTTTCTTCCATTACTTGGGTTGTGGAGGTCGTAGGAGGCGAAGACGGCAAAGGTGGTAAGTCTGCGGACATGTTATTTTGTTCTGCGGCATAGTATTCGTCGCCTGGTGGTAAATCACCCTCTTGAGGCGAACCGTGCGCTACATACGAATTATTTGATGATTGTGTATACAATGTTGTCGCCCCTCTCGAAGATAACACTTGTAATAATTGACCCTGTTGTTGAGAAGCCAGGTAATTGCTATAAGCTACACTATCGAAAGATAGTATTTCATTATTGGCTGGCAGCTGACTATTGGTACCAATAATAGCGTGCGGATAGGTCACTGTGTGATCCAGCAGGGGGAGTTGACCCGAGGCCGCTTGTTGAAGGTGTTGAAATGAAGGTATGATGCTGTTGTTGCTGCTGGGCTTGATGCCCAATGGCAGCATGGGTGGCAGCAGTGGCGTATTGGTATGATTGGTGAGTGTTTCCAAGTGTTGGGCCTCCATAGGCAATAGATGCATGTTGTGTTGGCTGGACAGCATATTGCGGGTATTGCTGGTGGTGGGAATGGTAGTAGCCGGCTGCAGCTGCAACATATTGTTGGGCTGCATGTTGGTAACCAAAGGCATTATGCTGTAAGACTGTGTTTCCATTATATTGCGCTGCTGCGGCGACGTGATTGGAGTGGGTGTATAGATGTGGTCCGCCATGTGTTGCTCCTGCGCTTCCGGGTATTGTTGATGGGAGATAATAAGCTGCGTATGAATTTGCATGTTGCTGCTGTTGGGCATGGTATTGTGATAATACTGCTCGGTGATCATGTCCTGTAACGCTGTACGATTTTGGTTGTCTTCCCGGATTAATGGCAGATGAGTTTGTGCTTGGTATTCCAGTGGTGCTAGAACTTGATGTTGATGGTGAGGTATTGCATTGAGATCTAACACCACCGTGGCTTGTTCTTCCTGTTTTATCTGCTGGTTCTTCAACTCTGCATTGACTCGCAGTGAAGGAGTCTCGTGCTGTAGTGCTTTCTGTAAATGAGAATCCTGTGATTTCACTTTGTGATCCTCCATCGCCGCCTCCATTTGGGTAGGCTCGCTTTTTATCAGAGTGTTTGTTGTGGTGTTTAGCAGGCCCCTCGAGGGCGGCGTTGATATGGTTAGGACGGAGAGGCCTGCTAACGCGTTTGGGTGACCGTTTATAGCGGTTTGATGTTCTTCTTGTTGACGAAAGTGGGAATTTGGCAGTGAGTCGCTTGTTTGGTTGATTGAATAAGTCGTTGCCGATCGAATTTGTGGTGCGAATTGTTGATAAGTTCGCGACATGCAATTATCAGATTGCTGCTGTTGCATGCTTGTTGGCGAAGAAGTTGTACCATAGACAGAAACTATGGCCGGTTCTTGTTTTGTAATCTGGTTATCACCTTCATTACCGTTACGTGGCTTAGGGGGCTGTATCGGTGTAGAAACGGATTGTTTTCGTTGGGTCGCTGTTGCAACATTCCTGCGACCAACTTTCACGCTGGTCTCGCGACTTGCTTGATAATTAGCAGTTACAGGCAATGTAGCTGGATCTGGTTGACTGCTGGATTTTACAGCATTTCTGTGTAAGATGGTGTTGTAGTGCCGTTTTAAATGGCCAGAACTAGTAAAGCTTTTATCACAACAGGGACAATAATAATTTTTTTGACGACGAGTTTCATTCGATTTCCAATTAGAAGCTTTTCCCTCCAAGTTACTCGATGGAAATGCTAAATTAGAGCTGGGTGATTCAAAGTCTCTAGGCATTGCCATTGGCATTGATTGATCTTGAAAAGTCTGTTCAATGGTGTTTGGCGGAAGTTCTGCCGGACTTGCTGGTAAAAGAGAAGATACCATTTGCGGCGAGTTTGCTACGTTGCCACTATCGACGTTATTTATTAGAGAATATTCCGATTTAGTTTCAACTCCACCGTATGATGGTTGCTGAGGTGAATGATAGTATGACGCCTGAGTAGTTCGTATTGAAGCTTGAGATTGCATTAGAGATGGAAAATTTTCAGATGCTTGTTGGTGCCAAGACTCGTTTTGTACAACCTGCAAATGTTCACCACAAGTTTCTGGAGTAGGCTTAGATGAGCCCAATAATTCTTGCGAGTCGAGGTCTAAAATTTCACCAGATTCCCCAGCTGATAGCATTTTTGTTGGCGTATTCACATCTATATTAGGTGATGATTGTTGCTTTTGGTCTTCCTTTATGTAAGGAGAACTGGCATAACCACTACTCGCATAAGGCGAAGGAATATGTGTACTTACGCTAAGGTCATGGTGTTCCGAGCCCTTGCATTGGAACCCCAAACCAGACGCCGGAGAATTTGGATTACCACCACTTCCGACGGTATTCACATTATCGCTTATAGACATTAGTGCATAATTACCGGAAGAATTACTGGAACTATTGATAAGAGGACTTACGGAGGTAACTGTTACCGGCTGGCTAGAATCTAAATTGTTAGTGTTGAAATTGTTGTTATTCGAAGAAATCGGCTTTCGCACGTCTAAACTTGAGGCCTCTTGATAAGAATGAAAATGTCCTGTGTTTTCTTTACTATAAATATTATTTGCATATACTTGACTAGGTGGAGAATTCTCGTAAGCATTCACTTGTTGCTTTTGTTCTGCTTCAGGTAATTGCTTCGATATATGAGATTGCTGCTGCTGTTCGTGTTGATAAAGTTGCTCATAGCTGTTAGTTAGATATGAAGTATAATTGTAATGCTGTTGTTGTTGTTGTTGTTCATTACTTTCAACGGATTGCATTAAATTCGATTGGGTACTGGAAGGCGGCTGATAGAGTTCATTGCCAGAATAGCTTTGAGAAAATCGTACTTTAGCTGTGGAAGCGTCAGTTGTAGCATACATAGGCGACGTCACATAAAGAAGTTGGGAATGCGTTTGTTGTTGTTGCTCCTGCTGCTGATTGTGAGCCGATTTAGTAGTTTTTGTTACTTGCGATGCACCGGACTGACAATCAATTGCGATTGTGTTCTGGTTTGAAGTAATCATGTTATTAGACGAATTGATATTGTCGACGGTGCCACTATCATTAACAAAATTAGATCTATTGCGCTCTGAGGCAGATGTATCACCGACTGCGCTTAATTCGCTAAGCAAAGGGGGCATATTATTACTTAAAGTCGACATGGCAACTGCCAATTCACCCTAACTGCGTGCTGACTCTAATGATTATGGTATTAATGATTACTGTTTTCTGCAGTTCGTTGTTTTATTCAATTTTTATAGCAATTATTTACTCGCACAGTAAATTTACAATCTATAAATATTTGTAGCCATTTTTCATTTCAAGCGAACAGCGACAAATTACGACGCCCAGGGAATTCAAGAATACACGGCTACGCACTGAACGGTGCTTAAGCACTTATTTTCAACTGACATCAAAGCAAATAAAATGAAGTTTTCACTGCCCAAAAAAATTTTAAAGGATAACTGCACCTTGGGTGAATACCTATGCATGTATTAGCATTGTTAGCACTGTTAGCAATGGTGGTAGTAGTAGTAGTAATAGTAGTAGTAGTAGTAGTAGTAGTAGTAGTAGTAGTAGTAGTGGTGGTGAGTTTTTCTATAGCATAAATTCCGTTACACAATGAGTACAAAACTATGATGATCGAAACACTCTCTATTTTACTCATTATTATTTATTCATGCTACGACGTCATGCGTTATCGGTTAAATGTTAATTAACATTATTTTAAAGAACATTTGTATTTGTTTTGTTAACTATTATTATTATTATTTCTTAGTTTCCGCTTTGCTCGTTTTACAATTTCTCAATACAGAACTCTTACTATTTATTATTTCATATGCCATTATTTAAATTTTGTTGTTGTTCGTTTTGTATGTAAAATCCAATCTCAATATAATTAAAAGAAAAATTAAAATGAGAAAAAAACGCGCCAGAACTTACGACATTGTCCGCTCTCGAACACACTCAGCACACGTCTGAAAATGTCGGGTCCTGTTTAGTCCCACTAGAAGCGAAATGTGAATCTTATGACTAAATATTAAGTTACTTTGCCTTGAATCTGGCTCTCTTTCGAAAAGAATAAACAAAAATAAATGGAAATAAAAGTGCAATTTCTTTTTACTCTTTCCACCTCTCTCTCTCTCTCTCTCTCTCTCTTCTTCACTCTCTCTTTTCTCTTAGGCTATATTTGCGTTCAATCATTTACGGTAGAAACGCGATAAAACGAAGAAACAAAACCATGAAGTAGAGTTGTTTACGCACTAATACTCATATACCGCATGCTTGTTATGCATGTGTATGTTGTTAAATGCACAAAATATAAATAATGCCGGCAAATGAACAGTTGAGGACAAAACTATTATATATACATATATATATACATACATATATACATACATATATATATATGTATATATGCATATATATAAATGTATATTTATATATGCAAAGATCTTTAGCGCAAATGAATGCATTTATTTATGTTTTCTTTGACCAATCAATAAATTTTAATTGCATATATATACGTGTAACTAACTGATAACGTAACCGTAACAGTCGGCTAATAATGAAAAACAAAAAAAAAAAATTATCAAATAATGAAGTATGAAGTATGTAGCGATCTTCACATTTATCATCAAAGATCCGGACATGTTTGGTGCTCCATCTGCGATGCTGCCATGTTTGGCCACTTGTATACCCCACTAATGGAATATCTGCGAAGAGCTATCGAGATCAATTCAGTTTTCGCTCTGAGGAGCGTATAATTTGTTTTCGCATCTACTGCTAGAATCGGTATTAGTTACGAAAGAGAATGTCGTCAAAAACGCCACAGGATAATGTTACTCCTCTAAAGCTTAATGATGAGGAGAAACGAAATACAGGGACAAAAATTATTTAATTCATTTATTTACTGATTTATTTGAACAGACTTAAGACAAGAGGGGTAAGATAATATCACTCACATATATATATATATATATATATATATATATATATATACACACGCACATACATACAAACACACACAAACACCTTCTTTGTTACTAACACGTCAAGCTTTAGTTTTATGATCGAGCCGATAAATTGAAGGAACCGGCCCGCAATAACTAGCATAATAAAGCAGTTGCAATAGATTTTTTTTTTTGTTCTGCATTTCTCAACTTCTTCATATAATTCACAAATTTGTTTATTAACTTTTAATTAACGAAAGACTTGTCCAAAGGCGACTGGAGCTTACGAATCTACGTGAGAAAAGCAAAGGATCTTAAGTTTCTTTTAATCTTTAATATAACGGACGGAGAGGGTGGTTTGTCAATTTCTTGCTTGCACTCGTTATTATATATCTAATAACTGGCTGAGATATGCATTTTAATTCAGCGACTCATTTATTCATTTTCAATATCCGACTTCTTTGTCCGCCAAGCGGGAAACAATTCTCCTAAGCGGTAGTGAAAAGTGATAAAAACTGAAGAAATCGGTTAAGTTTCGGGATATTATTGTAAACTATGCTAGATATCGGTTTAGTATATTGGCAGTGATATTTTTGAAAGCTTTTGTTGGCTTATTGAAATAATCTTCTCTTATTAAAGAAAACAAAGTAAACAAAAAAACAGGCTTTGTACACATGCTTGTCGCATGCAAAAGCATACATGTGTATACATATACGTATAGAATGTTTGCGTATTTACATATGCAAATATTATATGCATTTCTACTACGAAAGGAGAAAGAAAGAAAGAGAAAGAGAGGGAAAGCAGGAGAGAGTTAAGTATAAAGCAATACGAAGCTAAGTAAAAATCCAAGTAAGCTAATAAAAACGAGGTTTCAGCAGAAGAGACGAAAAATACGAACAACAGCCGACCCTTCGGTTTACATTCAATGTCAAAATGTTTTCTTCTTTTTTTTTTTTACCTAAATACGATTTCTGTACATTCGCAAGGTAGTAAAGTAAGAATACCAACAACATTTCAGATTTTTCGAGTTTATACTGCACGTAGTTTTAAAAATTATAATTATTGTCTTTAAATGACCTTTTAGTTTCACTGAATATTGTAAATATTTAATCCTCGCTCATAAAATTTTTCATTAATTTTTGGAAATTTTTCTTCTTAAGATATTTTTCTTTGAAATTATTTTATGATTTTATTTGCTTAAATTGCATACAGAGTATGGATATTTTGCATTGAGCTGAACGTAATTTTTTTTTGTTTTTTTTTTTTTGAATAATAAAACTAATCCATAAACGGATGTGATTTAGATATAGATTTCTGTCTCGCAAGATGCAAGTTCTTAGATTTTATTAAAAGAATTTCGTCTTAACTATTACTAAGGCTCCTGCAGACAATCATAAATATGAAATTCAAGTCAAGAGAGAAATGGAAGAAAAAGATCATGTAAGGCGCATTACTTCTATTCAATTGATTGATTCGAAATTAACTTCCAGGACAATGAGAATATTTTTGTCCATTCATTCGCCCCATTGATGGGGTTCACAAAAAAGTCTTCAAGGCGTTTTAAAACAACTCTTCACATAGGTTCACGGCAAAGTACGTCAGTTAGTTTATGTGATTTTCAGTGTTTCGACTATAACATATAGTGAAGCTCTTTAAAGCGTACAAGTCACCCATTGATCTAAAGGTCTGAGTTAAATCAAAAAAATCCCTAGATTACCTTTGTTTTATTTAAATTGGTCAGATAAAGAGTAGATATTATCACAAGATATATTTAAAAGGCAGAAATCGCATTGAAATGTTATGACTAAACTCAAGATGTTTTTGTAGCACCTCATAAACTCTATTCGAAATAGGTCTGACATTTATTCATATTGAGTACATGTTTACAAGCAACATACAAAAATGGCTTCAAAAGACCTTCAACCGAGAAAAGGTATAACATTTACGGATTTGGCACACACATCCCCATTTTTTTCATTTGATTGGTCATTTATAAATAAAAAATATAAAACAAGTAAGAAAGGCCGAATTTCGCATACCCACCGCTATGCTTTTCGCATTCTATTCTTCAAGCTCTTTTATTTGATACCCATATTGCTGGTATTCTATCATATTCTTTTTTAGAATTAACCCACTCTTAGACTGATAATATATCTTCATTTATGTAATGTACAAATTAATTTTAAACATTCTGTCTTGTTTGCGTTATAATAAATAAATAACCATGAAACCTCAAAAAAGTGAAAAAAAAAAAAATTTAATCACTTGTAACTTTGTGTGGGTATGTCCGATCTGTTCCATTTTTTCACGTAGCGAATAGATGTGAAAAATTTCAGCCTTCTAATTTTAATAGCTTTCGCATAACTCCACCAAACGGAAGTGTGTTCAATTTATGCTCCACTACGGGCTTCTGCTCTGACCAATTTGGTTAATGTTCAATAACAACCTGCGGGCAAAAACTACCAACGATTCCGTCACATTTAAAATCGATAACTTCATTTTTGTGACCAGGAGACTGCGAACAACAAACACTACATAAGACGGACAGATATGGCTAAACCAATTCAGAATTTCACGCTAATCAAAAATCTGTACACTTTAAGCGGTCTCTGAAGCTTCCCTTTGGGTATTACATACATACATGAAAAAAAAAACCCAATGAGTATACCCCTATCGTTCACTGGTGGGTGCGAAAGTCCGCGTACATGTTAACTTTTCTTATCATATTTATGATAACAGTATGTAAGGGAGATATATTTGGAAAAAGGAATAAAATCAACAATTATAATTCGTATCTTGACCAAAGGATGGGCGAAGAAGTACTACTCCGCAGAAAAAAACCAAAGAAATAGTTGCTTGAAATAGTGGCTTGAAAGTTAAAAACGAATAAAAAAAACTAAACTAAACTATATACAAAATCGGGGAAGATATCGCCTTACATGTTACATGATTAACTTAATTGAATGCCTTGTGATAAGGTGATCATAACTCAATTTTGCAGAATTCAATTTTTTATATGACAGACTATTGGTACTTGAAAGATGTTGGTGCCTTTGTCAGTAATACCGATTCTTGTAGAAATTTTGAAGATAGAATTTCAAATCTTGATTGTCAAAATTTTAGTTATGTAGCTAGCTTTTGCCAAACGAGAGATTTTCGACAATTCGTCACGAATAGTGAATGTAGTATTCGTCTAATACAATTTTTCAGGTATCATTGTCCGAGAATATTAAAAATTATACCTTGTTGCCATCCCATGCTCACTCTCACTTTTGACATCCGAACAAAGACCTATATAGTTGAAATTAGGCTGCCAAGTACCCATTTTCATCAAAACATAAAAAAAAATTAAACTTTTTTCTATTACTGGCAGGTAGTCTAAAATACTATATAGGCTCGATCAGCTATATGCCAAAATACGAGTAATGTTAAACCTAATCCGGAAAATATTAAAAAGTAGAAAATATTTTTTATATAACGATATTTGACTTATAAAGTATTGCTTTATATCGTGTGTGGTCGTAAAAAATCGTTCGATTCAACCAGTTTTAATAGTTAAACATCGGCATGTACCGAATTTCATGAGAGTATCTATGGCTTGATCACAAAAACACCTGACGGATAGACGAACAGATGGGTTTGAATCGATACGGATAATGACCATGATGATGATGAATCGTCCGGTATAATATAAAAAATCAATCTAAGTCAAGTTCTTCATGGTACTACGTACATCCACACAAGTTTAATATGCGCTTACCATGAATAGCGCAGGATATAAGTGAATAGTTAAAGTCGATAAGTTAGTTGATCGATCATAGCGCTTTTTACTCCTAAACTTTTAATGTTTCCTGAAGAAACAGAGCAACGCTTTTGCTGCACATTTTCAAGTTTGTTCTAAGGCCATTTATTAATTACGAATATGTACGTCAGGAGTTAATTTTAGTTTGTCGCAACTTTTACCAATTGCCAATGTTTCACGAGTAGATAGATAGACGAACGGCCAGCGGTAAATCAAATCGTAATTATGAAATGATCAGAAACGAATATACTATATACGATCGTTGATGAGTGTTTGCGTGTATTGCAAGTAAAATAGAAATAAAAATAAAAATTGAATTATCTCAACGATTATATGGAACTTGATATCCGGTTTTGGAAAACTCACTTGAAACCTTTAAATAATGTCGACGATGCAACGATGCTTGAGTGCATTGAAAGTAAGTAAACTTACATAAAAACAATTATCGAAATAACGTAGCATTCTAAAGGTAAATACTGCACTTTTCAGATTAACTTTTCATTGGACGCAGTATCTAAAATTACGCATTAAATTTCCTGATTAGATTTGATTTTTATTGCTAATTGACAATATTTCAATATCAATATTGTTTGCCGTCATTTGTTTGTTTGGCATCTGGAAAATAGCCTTAATAGTGTCATTTTATTGTAGGCAAAGCATAGTAATAATTAATGAAAAAATAAAAAAAAAAACAAATTAAATAAATAAAAAAATGATATGAGTTGGTATCAAAAAATGATTTATTCTTTCCATAATTTTTTTTTTAAATAAATTTTTTCTAAAAATATTTATTGTTGAACAGCACTAATATACATATATATATACATATATATATATATATATATATAAAATCTATTAATTTAAAATAATACAATTTTTTTAAAAGTTCACAGAACTTTTCACAAGCGCTACATAATTAAATTATATCAAACTTTTTTAAATAATTATAATAATAATAATAATAATAATATTAATAATAATAAAAATAATCCGAGCAATGATAGAATTAAAAAAAGAAATTATAAAAATTAACATTAAAAAAATGAAAAATGATTATATACAAAATATTTATATGTCTTGCTTGTAAAAGTAATTAATTAGTAGTAAGTAATTCCTGTCTTGTTTTATATATATTTTGTTAATTTAGTAAATTTCTTTTTCATTGATATGTAATAACAAATGTGGAAGCAATGATCGCAAGCAATGGGAAAGCATCTTCAATGCCCGTTAACCATATAAATAATTTACGAGCGGCGGCGATCCATTTTGTCATTTCACGATTCCAATAAACTATCGTGAATAATTTTATATTGATATCTGCTATAAGTCTTATTTTAATAGAAATTTTTGGTTTTTACGCTCTTGACGTTATGATCGCGTCCTGTGGATGAAAGTCACATTCAATTTCATATCATAGAGAATACTCCATAATATATATATATATATATATATACATGTATATATACTACCATCAGCCTGTTAATATATCCACTTTGTAATCTCTGCGGTTGTTGCATATAAATTAAGCATAGACAAGATGAGAGAATCGAATTGTATAATTATTATATGTTCGATTGAAACCTTAATAACAGAAGCAACATTTATTTAATAATTTTGCGCAATAATATGCTTCTTTTTCTTTTTTTTGATTGATGATAAGAGAAGTTTCTAACAAGGGAGCTCGAATTATTTTAATATGCTTAAAAGAATGAGCAACAAGTCATAATAAGGATTTCCGATAGTAGATGGTTAGAGACAGATTTCGTTGAACTTAAACAATGTATAATATTAAGATGATAAGCTAGAATAGATATAAAGTACGAGCGACAATTCATTCATGTATGTAAAAATTGTATAAATATTACTTAATTTACAAATAGGTTTTAAAAAATTCATAAAATGAGGTATTGTGCGGTCAAAGACAATTTGCAGAATTTTTCTTCTGACTTTAAAATATGTGAACTTTGTACTCATCTCTTAAATAAGTGCAACACCTATCGGTATTAATAATAATACATATATAAAGCGTTCGTCAATCCAGTTTGGTTGATTAATTGACGAAACAATTATTTCACTGTTGTGCAAAAGGACTCTATTTTTCCTCCTCATTGTTTGGAATATCCTTAGTAGCTTATGTTCTCTCTCTCTCTCTCTCTCTCAGTTTTAATACAGATATGATTTGCTGATATTAATATCGATCTCTATTGAACTTTCATAAATTTAGCTGATTTTTTAATAATAACACGTGGTCTACTATGGATTTTTAAATGCTTTCTTAAATGATCCTTACGACAAAAACTTTTCTCGCATACGCTACATATATATTTTTTATAGCCAGTGTGTATGGCTTCAATGTGACGACGAAGATCGGTTTTGTGATGAAATTGTTTTGGACATTGGTCGCACTTGTGTGGCTTATCACCCTCATTATGCCGAGGTATATGTTCATTAAAATCTTCTTCTAATTTATAACGTTTACCACATTTGTGACAACGATATGGATACTCACCGAAATGAGAACTTTTGTGGTGCTGCGTTAAATAGCAGATTTTAGCGAAATCCTTGCCGCAATCCAAGCATTTGATACGACCATTAGGCAACAACGTACTATTTAAGATTACGGTTTCTTTGTTAGGCGAGCTAAGCTTTTTTCTAACTTTCCCATTAGAAGATTTTGGTATTTTGTTGGCGGTTTTTGCGTTTGAAACAATATCGACGCCATACGCTGGCCGTAAGTTCTCTTCATTCTCATAATTCATGTTAACGTTGTTTTCTAACATAACTTGATTATTTGAAATCGGCAATTGTTCAGGTGGCGAAGCGACAATAAAAGTGCTTGTCTTCTCTTGGGCACAATGTATGGTGGATGATGGTGGCAAATCACCCTCTTGTGGAGACCCTTGTGTTACATAAGAATTATGGGGGGCTTGAGCATACTGAATCAAATGAAATATTTGGCCATCGTTGGTAGTTACAATTTGCTGATGACAATCTCCATAATCATCAAAATGAACGATTTCAGTGTTTGCAGGAATTGCGTTCAGCAGGCCATTGTTACCAATAATAGGGTGGTGATAATTCCGTATGGGGTCCAGCTGAGGTTCCTGGACCGAGGACGCCTGTTGCAGCTGTTGAAATGAGGGGATGATGTTGCTGTTGGACGTGGTGTGCGGCAGCTGTTGCGGGATATTGGTATTGATGACTTTGTCCAGCGGAAGTGGCATACTGACCAGCAGTTGCAGATCCATAGGCAGCAACTGGGTGTGGTGGCCGCGTTGGTTGGCCGGCATATTGCCCGTACTGGTGGTGGGAATGGTAATATCCGGCTGCTGCTGCTGCTGCATATGGTTGATAGCCATACGCATGATGTTGTAAGGCTGCGCTTCCATTATATTGTGCTGCGGCTGCTGCGGCGACATGATTCGTGTGTGTGAAAAAATGTTGTCCTCCATGAGCTGCTCCTGCTGAAGTAGCTGTTCCGGGTATTGTTGGTGGAAGATAGTAAGCGGTGAGTGAGCTTGTAGGTTGTTGTTGCTGGAGGTTGTGTTGAGGTAATGACGATCCATGACTGTTTCCAACGATTGTTGTGTGGGAAAGCCCTCCGGTACTTGTGTTACATGCGTGTGCTGTTGGTCCTCCACTGGAGATATAACTGCTTGGTGGTGTCCCGCATTGAGATCCACTGCCGTTGCTGCTTGTTCTGCTGGTTCTTGTTGCTGTTCCACCTTCGTAACCGACTGCTGTATTTCCTCGTGTATTACCATGCAAACGTTGTGATGTTCCACTTCCACTGCCATTTGAGGATCCCTTTGGATTATTGCTTGTTCCTGCCGTGTCACGTCCGGTTTCTGATCCCTCTCCTCCATTGCCGCCTCCGCTTCCATGAGCTCTTTCTTTACTGAATTGTTTACTGTTATTCTGGCGTTCAGCAGGCCCCTCATTTGGGAGGACGGCATCTGTATCGTGGGGACGGAGAGGCCTGCTAACGCGTTTGGGTGACCGTTCATAGGGGTTTGTTGTTGCTGAAAAGGACTCGTTGCTATTGAAACATTTGCTGTTGACTGAGCTTGCTGCAAAAATTGGGTGTGTTGATATGATTGCGTTCCAAAGTTGCTAGACTGTTGAGTTACGTTGGTTGGTGAAGGTGTGGCAGCATAATGAGTCGAACGTGCTGTTTGCGCTCCACTAACTCTGACACCGTCACCGTAGTCATGCGGACTATTCGGTGGATCAGGTGGTTGAACTGGTGCAGGAGGTTGCTGTTGTTGTGTTACTGCTCCATTACCGCCTCGTCCACGACTTATTTTCCCACTATGATCACGTGCTGGATGATGATGAGCAGACATAGGTAGTGTAGCTGGATCCGGCAAGCCGCTAGATTTGACGGCATTTTTATGTAAAGTTGTATTATAGTGACGTTTGAGATGACCTGAACTAGTAAACCATTTATTGCAAGCTGTGCAATTGTAAGTTTTTGGACGGCGAGCTTCATTTGATTTCCAGTTGGAGGCTTTTGCCCCAAGATTATTAGAAGGAAGCACTGAACTTGAACTTGGCGGTTCAAAATTGCCTGAGCGAAATTGTTGTGCACTTTGCTGTTGCTGCTGCTGTGAAGTCGGTTGTTGAAGTTCTTGAGATCCCCCTGTGGTTGTTGAAGGAAATTCTGCAGGACTGGACGGTAAAGCAACATCAAAAGACTTATCAGTCATATAGCTTTGAGTATCAGCTGATTGATATTCGGTTTTAATTACAGGACTATATTCGGTTTTAATTACAGCATTACCACAGGCGGGAGTTAGAATTTGTTGCGTTCTCGTAGCACTGAGATCGAATGATTTATCGTCCACATAAGCAGGATTGGTTTGAGCATATTCATTTTTTATAACACTTCCACCATACGAAGATTGCTTAGCGGCTTGATAATATGTAGGATGGTTCGCGATTGATTTCTCATTATTCGTTGCAGCTGTTGAGTTAGAATCGAAAGACTTATCCGTTGGATAACCTTGAGTTTCGGGTTGTTGTGAGAATTCAGATTTGATATCACTATTGCTACCGTAAGGGGTTTGTTTAGTATTTTGGTAGTACGTGGAATGATGGCTACTTAAAACTTTATCGTTGCTTGGTTGAGGTAGAGATTGTATATAAGCTGGTAGACCTTCACTGTTTTGTTGATGCCACTGTGCAATTCCAGCTCTTTGTTGCATGTTATGCATTGATTGCAAAGGATCGCGAGATGCAGTCGGATGTTGTTGCATTACAGTTTGCATTGCATCGGGGGCAGGTGGATACAGCATTTTTTGCGAGTCAAGGTCTAAAATATCACTAGGATTAGTTTGGCCGCTGCCCGATTGAGCTGTTGGAGTTGATGAGACGTTGATCGGCTTAGCGGATGTAGCTTGCTGCTGCAATTCTTCTTTGACATAAGTGGAACTCGCAAAATTGCCGCTTTGATATGGTGAAATGGCATGCATATTGGTTATGTGCTCCTGCAAATCGGGCTCAGAGGCACACACTAAACCACATTTTTTACATGTAGACGTGGTAATTGAAGGAGAAGTTGAATTGCCCGTACTCAAACTTCTTATATTGTTGGCACCACCGCTTATAAGTATTACAGCATTACTGGATGATGAGGGACTAGTGGAACTTACTACCCGAGGACTTATGGCACTCGTTGCAACTACTGAAGGTTGGCTAGAATTTAAATTGTTATTGCTATTGTTGTCCGAAGATGCTGACGTTATTTGCCCACCAGAGATGGGTGTTTGAAGATAGGGATGAAAACGTATTCCGCCTGCTTGTTTATAGTCATTGCTAGCGTATGTTAAGTGACTGGAAGAAGGATTATTATAATTATCCGATTGCTGTTGTTGTTGTTGTTGCTGATAAAACTGTTCGTAGCTGTTTAAATAGGAAGATGAATAATTGGAATGTTGCTGTTGTTGCTGGCCTAGATGATTAGCTGAAACTAAATCCATATGCGAAGTAGAAGAAGCATAAATGCCACCACCCGTCGAATAATTTGCAGCGGCTGCATATACATGATTGGGAGCATATGAATGATGAGTAGTTGTTTGTTGTTGCTCCTGTTGACTTTCAGTAATTCTTCCTTGAGGTTGCGGTGTTTCAGATTGATTGTCACTGGAATCAGCTGCGGCTGATATTGTATTTGAGGTAGTTGAATAATTGGGCGTGACGGTTGAGGCGCTACTGGTATCTGCGGTACCAGACGTATTGGCATCAATGCCGCCGCTGTTTGACGGAGTGACAGTAGTGGCATCAGCTAATACTTCCGCCGTAGGTAAGGATGGCATTTCACTAGTAAAAGTAGCCATAAATAGCTACACTACATTTGCATGATATCGGCAATTGCCGAAATAAATGTGATAAGCTTTTTATCCGTCGCAATGTATATTTTGCTGGTACGCAGTTTTCATGAAACCGTAAAATATATCAGCCATATGACGACATTCTCGAGGATAATAAGCAGTCAACACATGCATAGTGAGTCAGAGAAGAGGTTTATATTATTGGAGAGTTAATTTCATTGCAAGTATAATAAAAAATATTTAACGCAGTTACATTGTATTCGAAAGAAAAGGATAACGGTCGTATAAAATCTTTTTCTCTTGGCTTAGTTCTCTATTTTTTATATTGGTTCACTTCTTCGACACAGCCTCTTCTTGAAATCTTACTTTTTTTTTTGAAAAATATATTAAAAGTTACACATAATACGGTAATTAACACACTCTACGTCTAACGATCAGTTATAATCTTCTCTTTGACTGCTGTCTGAGTTTAAATTTTCTCTTTCTCTTATGAAACTTGCCTCTCAAGTTTTATGTATCGAATTGATAAGTGTTGACTGTTAATGTTATTTAACAGTTTATTCAAACATTAGCAGAATTTTTTTTATAGTTAAGTTTTTTTTACACTTTTCGTTAACTTTGTCGTTGCGTTTACACAGAAAACATTGTTTTTTTATTTATAAAATTGAGTTTTTCGAATTTTTTTGTTTTTTTTTTATTTTTTAATGACGACGTGTTTATGTTACGCGCGTGTGACATCACGGCATGTCATTTGTTGGCTTTGTTTTAACAAAAGGTTTTTAAACTTAAAATATGTAAATGAAGGGAACAAAAATTTTTAACGAATTTTGAATTTTGATTTTTTGAGACTAAAAAAAAAGTTTAACTAAAAAAGCGTTTCTCTGGGTTTTTTTTTTTTTTTGTTTTTTTTTTTTGTTATTTATTTATTTAATAGCTAAAACAAATTTGCTTAATTTTTTTTTAATAATTTTCCAAAAAGTGATTTGCTGGTTGAATTTGCCAAAAATTTTATGCCGAAATTTAGTTTTTGATTTTTTAAGGGAAAAAACTAAAAAATTAAAAAAAGAAGGCTTTTAATAGGCCGTCCGCTCAGTAACACGCGCTGCCAGCGTCTGAATTGTGTGTCCTGCTTAGCTAACCGGCCAACCAAAAATTACAAATGATATGCCAAACTGCGCGCCAACCAAGAAATACGATAAAACGAAAACGAAAATACGCACCAACACAAAGATATGACAGCAAAACATAGTACATACAACACATTTTAGTAGTAATGGGCTTCTAGATACACTTAACCATCATTTCACATACGGCAGACAGAATACTAAGCAAATTTCTCTGCCTCTTACACACCCTTTCTTTCACTCTCTCTACCGTTCTCCCTCTCACTCTCATTCTCGCTTTCTTTCTCTCTCTCTGACGATTTATTTGAAAACTAACACAAAGAGAAAGATTCATTCGCACTTTAAATTATAGAAAATATAATAGAATATTTGATATATATATATATACATTTATATATATATATATATTTTATATATATATTTATAACTTAGCAATAATCTCATAACGATTAAACTTGGGAAATGATCGGTTGCCATCAAATTTAGCTTAGGGTTAATATGCTCTTGTACCGCGACAGAGTAGGGTTTTAATAACAGATAATGGACACATGTGTATCATACAGTTATAAAAAAAGAAAGAAGAAGAAATATTTCTACAAAACTTAAAACATATAAGCAAAAGCAAAAATAATACCACATATGCACATAAATACCTATATATATCTATGTATATATATATATATATATGTAAGTATAGGTCTAGTGAAGATTGTTTTCAATCTTACAAAGAGCATGCATTTTGAGTGTGTTTTTAAGCGAATACAGAGAGAGGGAAAGTTATTGGGCAGCTTGCATTGCCTTTCATTTCCTACATAATTTCCCCTCTCTATGCCCTATGATAATACAATAACATTTCTCTCACTCTTACTATGTTAATATATGCATAGCGTTATATACGTACGTTTATATGAATGCTTTATGTTATGCTCTCTAAAGTAAAAGCAAAAAATAATAAAAAAAAAAAAGTAAATAAATAAATAAATAAATAAATAAATACATAAATAAATAAAAATAAATAAATAAAGAAACATAATAACAACAATAAAAAAGAACTATATACACATGCATAATGACTAATACAATGATGACTCACACTACGGATTCTCTTGCACATACAAGTATTAGCTGGTCGCGGTATCAATGTTTTTAAAAACACGTTCTCCAAAGCAGTTTTCAATTCTTTCAAAAAAATGAGAAAAATTATTTTAATAGTAAAATTGTTGTCGTCACATAAATCGAAATCTCCTTTAATATGACATCCACACTAATAAATTTCTGGTATTTCATCTACATGCATACAGAAAATCCCGAAAAGTAATGGTCGAAACGCTCTCTCAATTATTATAAAGACAATAGAAAACATTGAGTAGAGCCTTCGAGAGTTGCTATCAATTAAACTATGCATTAAGCTTTCTTCGACACAAACCAAAACATATCGCCTTGATATGTCCAAAATATTCTAGGCAGAGCTTCTAAGTAATCAGTCAAGTCTTGTCTTGAGTTGGATTTAAAAAACACAATTGAATTTGAATGAATTTTTCGAAAAATCCTTATGGTTTCGCTGCAAAAAAAGTCGAAATAAAATTTTAGAAAACTGTTCCGATTTGTGGAGTTACACACAACTTCTAAGCATCTCTAAGCGGTAAGTTAAAAAACTAAGCGTTTTTTTTTTTTTTTCTGTTTATCCACTGGCAAACAGAGAACGAGAGAGCAACAGAGAGAGAGAGAGAGAGAGAGAGAGGGACGAAAGTAAGGAAGAATTTTATTGAATTAATATTGAATATTATATATAAATGAAAAATAAAATTATATTAACAACTTTCTTCGAAACAATACCTTACCATAGAGTAAAGAGATTATTAAAAAAAAAAAAAATTCCAAATACATTTTGCATTATTCACTTAACATATTCATGCAAATACGTACGTACACATATGTTTACTTTTATGTTAACTTTGTGTTTTTTTATTTATTTACTTCATTTTTTGTTTTTTGTTTTTTTTTTTGTATAAAACCGGCGTCATATATTGTGGCCATGGTCGTTGTAGTCGTTGACAACGTATGTTTATTTGTTTAGACGCCATAATTAATTGTTGCGAATATGAATATGGGTCTGGGGTCGGGAAGGGGAGAGTCGATAGGCATGCGGACGGGCGGGCTGGAGTCACGTACGTGAAGAAAAAACGAAATGAAACTCCACAGAAGAACACATTGCATGCAAAAAAAGAAAAGAAACTCATTTCCTACAACAAACACAAAATATATCATAACAAATTAAAAAATGTTGATTACAAAGCCAAACAGTATAACGTCTATTGCGAGTAAAAACAAGTTTTTAAAAAGTTCAGCGACAGACAATTCGAAAAATGTGCACAGCAAGAACAAGAGAGCGGCCATGATTTTCAAACTTACGTAAGTCTGTTTATTTATCTCAACTTAACAAGCCGAGTTCTGTGTCGAAATTCCGAAAAAATTTTAACAAGAAAATCGTATATCGAAGTAAATATAATTCATGCGATTTCCCCGTTTGATAATAATATCTTGCGATCTATATGCGGAAAAGCAAGTGCGATTACTTAAAATGGCAAGAGTCGAGTTCGTTAGAGGAGCACGAACAAGAAAACACTTTCTTACAAAACTGGATTATTTTTTTGCAACAATTGTGAGAATTGATAGTTTGTAATGATGGGTACCCATGGATCAACCATTATTTACATTTATCTTATGATATGTCATTAATATGGTTTTAGCTCAAATTTGCGCCAAATAATTTAATGCGAACTAAGTTTGATTGATTACACGAAAAGTCTTTCTAGGGTAGTAGTCGATTATTTCCCCTAAAAGGATGAGAACATTCTTACGTAAAATGAGAATTAATTCTATCGTAGTGCAATATTAGCAATGGATATATGTTCTTATTCCATTCCGCAATATCACGTAAGTCACATTTTCCCAATATTTGTTATTAGCTAAAGTGTATCCATGCTAAACCAATGCTCTATCGACTACTTCTGTATGTAATTGCGGACAAAGTCTTACAATTGAATACATATTCAAGGCGCAATTGATTTGGAATGCATTTACTCTACCAATGATGAAAAAATTTTCTTCTATGAATATCAAGTTGTTCTGGGGATATGAATTTCGCTCGTAATTAAATCGTACGCCGCTATTAGTAATAGATTAAAGCGGCCTGTCTCTCCTGAATATTCTTAAAAAGCCTACCTCCTCCTTACAATAACCGAGCCGAATTCTAGGCTCAATTCTTCGTTCATGTGAAAACAATGCATAATTCTTGGCCTGTTATGATGAAAACCGTTCTACAGTCTTAGCCGGCTATGACGTTTCCACTTGATTTAGATTGCGAAGCATATACAGTTAGTTTCACTATATATGCAGCAGCACTAGTGATCTCAATATGAATTAAAGAAATTATTCGCCATTTTCCCTAAGGTAGTCCGATGTTAAAAAGCCAGACAAAAAGTATATAATAAAAATTCGACATTTTTTGATTGGAACAACTCCGTTGAAATATATTTCGCTGACATTATGTCTATAATTTAGGCAAAATTTCAAAAAAAAAATTTCTTTTCACGTGAAATTCGAGAGAAGTTCGAGAAAAGTAAGAAAAAAATTTCGATGTCATCGATTTTTAAGTGTCCAGATCTAATTTATTTTCCAATTTATAATGTAATGATTGGCATAAAAGGGAATTCTTTGAAAAGCGGCAGATGTAATGTTATGTATGTATATGTGTTTGTCTGTGCATATGTAAGAAAATGCATTAAAAAAAATAAAAAAACAAAATAAAAAAAAAAATTTTGTAGCTAATGTATGAATCGCAGTGCTGTATGTCGCAGCGATGTATGAGAATGTGGATGAGAATATTGTAATTTCATTAGAGGAAGTTTTGCGCACGTCGCACAATGACAATTCTAAATTGTTATCGTTAGTGATTATGGCAAACGCATGGATAGAATATGTTAGAGTATTTCGTTGCAAGCGTTTCTGTATAAGCAAGTGTGCAAGCCGGGGATAAAAATGAAAAGATGTTCAACAAGATGATCAAGAATGATGAAGAAAAGAAATTTAAAAATATTTCGCGCTTAATATATTAATATGAAACGAAAGACCAGAGAAATACAAGCTCTTTAGAAAAAAGAGAGAAAGAAGTAAAGCGAAATTTCGTTTTTGTTTTCATTCTCATCTTTGGCTAGCGATTATTGCGGAAATGTTGTTTACTAACGCTCCGTCTTGTTGTATGCATATTTTTACCTATACGCACTACTGTACTGTTACGCACAAAGAAGAGAATGCACTCAGACTCATACTCTCTCTCTCACTCTCTCTCTCTCTCTCTCTCATTCTCTATCTATCTCTCCCCCTAAGGCATACATAAACATATGCACACATACATAGGCACGCATGCATGCACGCACGTAAGTACACACGTACTGACATACCAACATGCGTGCATGCATGCATGCATGCTTGCATGCATACAGAACGAGTAAGAGGAAAGAAACGCCTGGATGCGCTTGAATGAGCGTGCAATTATGGAAAACGGCAACAACAAAAACAAAAACAAAAACAAAATCAACAATAATAGCAATTCTGGTAAATAGAGAAAAACTGAAAAAAGGGCATGGTATGCGCTTTTGTGTATACATGTATATATATATATATATATATATATATGTGTGTGTGTGTGTGTATGGACAAAAGAG